TCTTGTTCTTTCTGTGAATAGCTGGGTCCGGCTGGGCGTTAATTGGCAAACAAAGCGCAGATGGGCGGCGATATAATGTGTTGGCAGCAGGTTTACGGTAGTACCTGCAAAGAAAATATCTATTGAATTGATGTTAAAAGACCTCGCAAAAATCTTTCTGTACTATTTTTACATTATTAACCTAGTCATGAACAGATAATCTAACGAAGATAACCTGATTCCTCTGGAATTGTTGGAGTTCGGTATAACCAGATGAATTTACGAGCGATAAAAATATTTTCTGACAAAGGACAGCTCTACGAGTGCCAGGAAACATAGGGTCAAGTGGTGCAAAAATGAGACAGCCGAAATTTCGGTCAAAAACAAGACATTCAATTTTTCCCAATGCAAAAAACAATAACATTGTAAAAAATACGTTACAAATTACTTCCACATATATACATTTGAATTATGTAATGAATAATAAATAAACGTAAACACAAACATCGCATCTGATTGTGCATTTTGCTTGAAAAATCTTTTAAATTGTATTTACAAACTTTTCCTGTTGCGCCGCTGTACGTGATCGTAGAGACTCGGTAAGTATCGCGTTTTCAAAATAACAAATACGGCTATGATATTCCATATCGAATTTAGTCTATTTTTATTTGTTGGCAAGCAGGCACGTCGTGAATAACAGATGCAAAAATGAGACACAACAAAGTTTAAAAACAAGACACCTGCCAGGTAATAAACAAGACAGCTTTTATACCTTTGATAATAATGCCGAAGGTTTACCTTCCCAAAAAGCGTCCCTACGACAAAAAGAACGTGGAAACAGCCCTTTAACTAATAGATAATGGCACTTTATCTCTTGGAAATGCAGCTAAACAGTTTAAAATTGACAAATCTGCTCTTTCGAGAAGACGTACTCGTGCACTTGGTAAACAGGGAAGAAAAACTTCTCTAACCAAAGAAATGGAAGTAGACTTAAGTGATAAGATAAAAATTATGGCAAAATGGGGGTTTGCTCTCACTAAACCAGAGATACAATCAATAGTTCAAACCTATGTACAAGAAAACCACCTTACTAGCCAGTTTAAGGAAGGAATGCCCGGGAAAGACTTTTTTAAACATTGTTCTAAGCGCAATAGACTAAGTCAAAAAAACGCAAGTTTACTACGTGGCACAAATCCTTAATGTTTTTGAGAGCGATGTAGAAGTAAAATATCTGAGGCGCAAAGGATTTAAATTTATTTTTCCAACCATTGAGGAAAAGTACTTCATCGACAAAAGTGACTTTGAAATGAAACTTCCTCAGCCAGAAATAGAAAGTAAGACCTGTGATATCTCTCAGTAATATTGGTTTCCTATCGACCTTAAAAAAAACGTCGTTACGTCGTTCAATAATATGTAGTACAAAATACGTTAGAATAATAAGTTTTCTACTTTAGCTCTTAAAATCCTATTGAAAAT